CAGTCCCCTTAACATCAGTGTTTTCCCATATCGCATCAGCATCAGCCCAGCCCTTTAACATCAAAGTCCCTTCATCACATCAGAGTTCCCCCTTCACATTAGAGTCTCCCCTTCACATCACAGTCCTCCCATCACATCAGAGCCAGCCCCTTTAACATCAAAGTCCCTTCACCACATCAGAGTTCCCCCTTCACATTAGAGTCTCCCCTTCACATCACAGGCACCCCATCACATCAGAAGCCCCCTTCCCCCATTACATCTGGGGCAGCACCATAGCTGTGCTGTTGCTCTTGGGCATGAGATAGCTCTGCTGTTGTTCCTGCACTCAAGACCAGGTTCCTACTTGGCAGAGGGCCAAATAACCTGGATTCCACAGTACAGTGTGCGGGCAGTGTCCAAAATTTCAGGACTGTATGGAAGGATCTGGGGCACTCCTTTTGCTCATTGGGCAACCACTGATAATGTATATCTTGTGTCCTTGCGCTGGAGTTACATTGTCGTGACACTGTGCTCAACGATCACATGTACCACAAGCAGTGCACAATCACACCTCATGCACTCGAGCAGAAAAATACTGCTTTTAGAGGCATTTGTCTTTTTTTTTTAAGCCTTTAAAACCACTCCATTTTAGCCAATGTGTCCACACACATTTTGGTGTTTAAATTCAGATTTTAGTGCTGGTTCACACCAGCTTTATCCTGCATCAAAAGCACACATGAACTGTGTTTTACATGAATTTCAATGGCTCTAGTTCACACCAGCACAGTGCATTCCATTGCATTCAACAAAAGTAGAAAATGCCCCTGCTTCTGGAACACAACAAAATGCATGAAAAATGCACTGGAATGCATTAAAAACATAAAAAAAAATGCACTGGAGCACACATGTCCTTAATTGAGAAAAAAGGAGTGGGGTGGGGGAAATGCACCCCTGGAAAGCATAAAGAAACTAGCATGCAAAAATTGTGATGTGAACTGGCCCTTAGAGCAGCATTTGGGGCTGTTAAAGAAAAACAAAAAAACAAGTGTTTTTTTTAGTTATGGATCTGAACACAACTGCATCACTTTCAATATTGGGGCAGCACACTGGCTAAATGGTTAGCACATCAGCCTGGCAGCACTAGGGTCACTGGTTCAAATCCCAACCCTGGCACCACCTGCCTGGAGTTTGCATGTTCTCCCTGTGACTGCGTGGGTTTCCTCCAGGTATTCCGGTTTCCTCCCACACTGCAAAGACATGCTGGTAGGTTAATTGGCTCCAGTCTAAATTGGCCCTAATATGTGTATGTATGAATGTAAGTTAGAGACCTTAGATTGTACACCCCTTGAGGGTTGGGGACTGATGTGAATGTACAATATATGTATGTAAAGTGCTGCGTAAATTGACGGCGCTGTATAAGTACCTGAAATAAATAAAATAGAGACCTTCAAAAGTGCATAAACATGTACTGCCTTCAGATCTGTAACACATAGTCCAAAATTATATGCCTGAGGACATTCATATGCACATTTACCATTGAAAAAAAAAAAAAGAACAAGACAATTTTTACACATTACAAAACAGATCTATTTGCACAGGAACTTTTCTTTCTTGCTTAATGATTAGCAAAAACTTTTATACGGCTGTTAGGGTCGTGTGAATATAGCCTGCAAAATAATGTCCCAAACCTATGTTCAGAGAGGAGCATACTGGTGTAATTTGCACACATACATGTATATGCATGTAAATTTAATCTAGTGGCTACAATAGATGAGTATTCTAGCTCACAGGTGTCAAACACTAGGCCGGAGGGCCGACTGTGGCCCTCCAGGCCATTTCATGTGGCCCTTGCACCCTCTCCTGCAGGTACCCCCTTGTCTCTGCCCCCACCTTGTCTAAGCAGTTGGCAGCAGAGAGAACTCCTCTGCCAAATCCTGCACCTCTCAGTGCAGCTGCATCTCCGCCTCCCCTGGTCTCAGCATTCAGCAGACTATGGTAAAAGACTCCACTCTTCCTCAGGTCCTCCTCCAGATCCTGAACTTTCTGATTTCCAGCTCTGCCCCCAAAGGGGGTGCACGGTGATGTTAGGGAAGGTGTGGGATTCTTGACATCTGATGTAATGGGGGGTTGGGTGCTTTGGACATCTAGTCTTACAGATACAACCGGCTGTTTGAGGGCAAACATAATGCGGATACTGCTCGTGATGAAATGGAGTTTGATACACCTGTTCTAGCTGATAGAATGAATTTAAGCCCAAACGCTTCTGAATGCCAGGAAACGTACATTCCCTATGCTAGCTTTTTCTCCCAGCTCCTAGCAGAAAGATCCTGCGTAGACAAGAGTATTTTTATACACACCCATGTACATGAGCACTAACAAAAAATTTGAAAATTGTATCAAATACTTACTGTAACTTTCCTTTCCTGGCACCAATCCATGGCAGTTACATCTGATAGCATGCTGCCATGTTGGCGCCAGGCAAATGGAAAATTGTATCAAATATTTACTGTAATTTTTCTCTCACCAAGCCTTGGCAGCATACATGTGGTAGTATTCTGCCATGTTGGTGCCAGGCAAACGGAAAATTGTATCAAATACTGTAATTTTTCTTTCCTGGCAGTCATACATGTGGTAGTATTCTGCCATGTTGGCACCAGGAAAAGGGAAAATTGTTTCAAACGCTTACTGTAATTTTCCTTTCCTGGTGCCATTCCAAGACAGCTACATGTGGTAGTATGCTGCCATGTTGGCGCCAGGAAACCAGAAAATTGTATCAAATACTTACCGTAATTTCCCTTTCCTCTCGCCAAGCCATGGCAGCATATATGTGGTAGTATTTTGCTATGTTGGCATTAGGAAAATGAAAAATTGTATCGAATACTTACTGTAATTTTCCTTTACTGGCACCAAGCCATGGCAGCTACATGTGCTAGTATTCTGCCATGCTGGCATCAGGAAAATGAAAAATTTATCAAATACTTATGGTAATTCTCTTTTCCTGGTGCCATTCCAATACAGCTACATGTGATAGTTTGCTACCATGTTGGCACTAGGAAACTGGAAAATAGTATCACTTACTGTAATTTACCTTTCTTGGCACCAATCCATGTATGCTGCCATGTTGGCACCAGGAAAACAAAATGCATACAATTTGTGGGCAGAAGAGTTATATACATGTCAATTCTGTAAAAAGAAAACCAAAAAAAATCCCTCTGCCTGCTAGCATTTTGTGTACAGTTTCGTATTTTCCCGTTAACCAAAGACTGCTTGTGTTTTGTCCGCGTTGTCACTCCATCATTATCACTCCAATATGCACAGGTCTGCGGGAAGTCTCCGGAAACATGGAGCCTGTAGAGCGGAGACTCAGTGCCGCGCTCATTGCTTCCCTCTAGTGTTCCGCAACATTCTACACCTCGTGACGAGCCGCAGCTGAGAGGTCAGAGGGTAAAGGTAACACATCGCAGGGCAACATGGCGGCGACCAAGAGGGTGTTATATGTTGGTTAGTGACATTTTTTTAAGGCGTGATGTACGTGTTTATCATCCTGGTTTGGTGTGGTAGTCGGTAGGCAGAATGTGAGCTATGGACTCTCAGGACTTGAATGAAGTAATGTGGAAGCTGAAGGCGTGTTGTGTCATTCAGTCCATACTCTGTACTGCTGGGGGGAGGAAGGGGATATTATGTATTATTATTTGTTAGTTATTGATCCTTCCTCTGATTCCCAGGAGGACTGGCCGAAGAGGTGGATGAGAAGATCCTGCATGCAGCCTTCATCCCCTTTGGAGACATCACAGACATACAGATCCCTCTGGACTATGAGACAGGTGAGGGCTCCCATTATGGCTGACTCTGAGAAAGTATGGAACAAATGGACTGAACTGTGGAGAGACGCACAATTCAAGTAGTATTACAGCTAGTACATTGTCAGCAACCAGGGAAACCTTCCCCAGTACATAATTTCATATATGTTCCCAAACACTCACCATTTAACTCTGCTTTGTTCTGGAAGCAGTGCAGGGACGTCCTGTCTGTTGCTGGAACAAAGTCAAGTCCGGCTGATAACTTCTCAGCCATTCACAGGAAGCTTTGTATTTTTATGAATGGATACAGGTCTTCTTCTGATTGGTGGGAGATCATCCAACTGCATCTGTCAAAGCCTTATCTTTGATACTGTTGACTGGCTCACTACCTCTGCTGTTCCAAGCATCAACCACTCTTTCAGTAAAATAGTACTTTCTGTGATTAACTGGAAGAAAGTTCAAAACTAGCTTAAGGTCATGTCCCCATGTTCTTGATTTTGGTTTCTTGTTGAAAATACTGCCCTCCTGAACCTTATTCACCCCCTTGATGTATTTAACCCTTTGATGCCGAAGTCGCACAAATATGCGGCCTCACAGAGCTGGGCTTTTTTCCGTGGGATATTTGCGTACCTGTCTTTGTGCTGTGAGCGCACCGCCCAGCACAAAGACCAGGGTGTCACTGAGAGCCTAACAATTGGGACTCCTGATTCCGGGTCACATGATCGCTGTGATAGCCTCTGATTGGCTATCACAGTGATCAGTCACTGTACAGCCCCCCCCCCGCCCCCCCCCCCCCCCCCCCCCCCCCGTTTTTGTTTTTTATTTTTCTCTCTCTGAATGGATTAGAGAAATACATTGTATCGCTCTCTCTCTCCTTGCATAGAGTAAAAATGCAAACAAAAAAAAAACTGTTAAAAAAGATAAATGTTAAAAAAAAAAACATAGATCAAGGTTTGATCTAGTTCAGTGCCAGGGTTAGTGTGCGGGTCAAGGTCAAAGGTCAGGGTTTTTTTTGTTTTTTTTTTCCTAAATTGGTGTTAGTGTCACTGTTTTAGGTAAAAGAACAAAAAACAAAATGCGCACTATTGTTTCTGGGCTGTACTATGAATACAAACAACAAATAACATACACATATGTGGTATTGTTGCGATTGTTAAGAGCTGGAAAATGTATTTTGGGTTGTTCTTTGGTGGTAGGTTTTGGTAGTAACAAGAAACACACAGCTAAATTAAAATTTATTTTTTTTTTAACTATTTTGGAACCTAAAGGGTTAATCCTCTGCATTGTGTAAAAAGGATGTTTCATCCTGACTTCTCTGTTCCTCCCCTTCTTCCAGGGTCCAGCTCTTATCTCCTGATAAGACATACCGTGTGGAAACACCTCTGCACATGCTCAGTTTGGTGTGTATTGCTAGAGAGTTTTTTTTTTTTTTTCCTTGGGAGGGTACATGTGATCAGCACAGGGCCAATCAGCACTGTCCAGACAGAGGGTCAGGAATCCTGCATCCTCCTAGAGCAAAAAGAAAATCCTCCTACAAGCTTTAACATGTGCTCAGCTGAACATTGATAGAAGTCACAAGACTGCTATACACTGCTAATGAGAATAGGTATTTAGCAGTTTATATTTACTAAAATAATTGTACTTCCATGTTCTGTGTACTATGTGAGACCAGATATAGTGAATGCAGGGTCCTGGGTTTAGTAACACTTTGATTAACCAAGCTGAGGTTAGAAGCTGATTGGTTTTCTATGCAGAAGTGAGCCTGATTTTGCACTCTCCAGCTTCTCCTGTGGATCACAGGAGTGCAGTTCCTTCTGCACTCCTGTAACCCGTTTTCAGCTGACAGTAGACTGAAGTCACTCAGCCAGTCCAGGCTGGGGAAAGACTTTAAAGTCGGGATCCACCCCAGAATCTGGAGTGGCTCCTGGTGAGCCGCTGAGAGCCTGAGCCAGCTGCTCCCTCCCCCTCTACAGCCCAGCACTCCAATGAGCTTGGGGGGGGCAGAGCAGAGAGCGGTGACTGTTGGTCACCTCTCTCTGCTCAGAGCGGCGACTGACAGTTACCGCTCTCTGCTCAGAGCAGCTGTGAGAACTCAATGATCAGTGGTCATGTGATTGCTGAGTTTTTACCTTTAGAGGGTACAGATGCAGCATCAGACTGATGCTGCATCCACGTAGGTAAGTATGATTTAAAAAAAAAAAATACAAGATCCCATACTTCTCTTTTAAAAATCCTACCTGTTTGCCCATTTCTATTTTTTTTTTCTGCCTGTGCATCAGCGGAGACGTTTCCATTCATTTCCAGAAACACAGTACAAACAAAGAGGAGTTATCCCCTCTTACATGGTTGTCCACAAATTTTACCCACTGTAAGTTTCCTCTCAGCTCCTGTTACTATGATAACTCCAAAATATGGATTTTCCATTAGCACTGCTAGGACCTTGGAGAAGGGATTACACCCCAAAAGCTTGTCCTGAAAAATGATACGTTATTGCAAATAAAAAAAGAAATTAAAAAAAAGTACCACGGACAATACTCAGTAGTTTCTGTCGCAAGTGCACTAATACATCTACAATCACCCCAAGTACCATTCATGTTTGTACTGGAGACAATAGAAAGAGTGAATCATTTCAGTTAGAACATAGATGGCAATAGAAACCTGACAAGGAAGCTAACCACTCATTATTTTGCATATACTTTAAAGAGGAGCCTAACTTATATTTTCTTCAGCAAACCCTGTCTGGTGTCAGCATCTTCTTTTGGGTGCCAGCCTTCGGCCAATTTTATTGGCTGGTGTAGGATGACGTCAATTCTGCACATGAGCAGGAGTCGGTCATCCCAGCACACAGGGACTGTGCTGGTGACATAAGCTGAGTTGCACATTCACAGCTAGCTTACATCCTTGAGAATGCTGCAAGCAGGCAGGTAGGTCTAGTTTATTGCAAAAAGGACATTGCGTGTCTGTTCTGCAATTAAGTGTCTGCCGTCTCTCAGCTTGTGACAGCTGAACCTTAGTTACAGTTTCCAATTTAAATATACCATAATGCAAGGGACCGGAACCATAGCACTCCAGCTGTTGTGGAACTACAAGTCCCATGAGGCGTGGCAATACTCTGACAGCCACAGGCATGTTTCCCACAGGTAGGGGCATGATGGGATTTGTAGTTTTAGCACAGCTGGAGTGTTAAGGTTCCCTACCCCTGCCATAAAGCATAGAAAAGTTTGTATGTAGAAAATTAATTTTAGAATCAAATATCCAGTGCCCATTTTTCAAAACTTTGGAAAGGAGGAAATCGGTGGCAGTTAAACATCTAAAATGAATCCTAGATTTCAGGCTATAAGTGCTGAGATATTGACCGTTTCTGTTTCAATATTGTTATTAAGAAAGTTTTGTTTTTTAAGAATGTAACAAGCTCAAAATACGCCCTCGCAGGGGCAGAGCAGAACAGTAACATATAAACAGAGACATCCTGCTGACTTGTATTGGTCAAATAACAAAAATCCAATGACATCAAGAAGGGGCGTCAAACAGCCGAGCCAAATGGCAGCAGTAATCCAACATAATATTGAAAAGAAAAGAGGTTAGAAGAAAAGAGAAAATAAAACAAAAAGGAATCAGAAAGAAAACCTGAAAGAAGGGAAACTAGAGGGATCACGAATCCGGGGCTAGCACCAGCAGCTACTATAGGAGGCCATAACTGGTAGGAGGCAGGGATGGTAAGGAATAACGTATCCAAGGTTCACAAACCTTAAGGATTCTCAGATGAGAATCATGAAGAATGCTAGACATCTGCTCATTGAACAACATAGCATTCATCCGGGTCCTCACCCCTTGGAAGACTACCGAATGGGTTCTCCAAGCTTGAGCTATAGCACGTTTGGCCGAAATGAATAGGTAGGATGCCAATTTCTGTTAAGACCTAGACAGACCCAAAATTGGGCAATGCAGGAGGGCCACCCTTGCATCCCTATGGACCGCATTATGAAATAGCGTTTGAAGCAAACCGAAAACCCTAGACCAGAAGCCTATCAGTCGCGGGCACGACCACCAAATGTGCAAGACGTCTATATTGCAACACTGGCAAGTAGAAGAGGTTGAAAAAGCATTTTACATATATATATATATATATATATATTTATATATATATATATATATATATATATATATATATATATATATATATATATATACACACACACACACACACACACGCCTATACACGTGTATACGCAAGGTCTTTAAATTAAAGAACACTTTACTTGGGCTCCTTCTGTCAACAAAAATTATTATGTCTGTGCAAGAGACCTAAAGAAAAAATTATCAGTGCAGTCATACCGAATACTTTTTTGTAGCACCGGGAACTTCCTACACCAAACATCTCTCTGAATTTGTTTAAAGATTTAAATATAATATATATAAAAATGCAGAATTGTTATTGCTACATACTCAACAATGGATGAATACATTTTAAAATTTTTAGTTTTTGTAACATCTTGCCTCTCGTGTAAACCATTTACTTAACATAATGTGGTACTGCTGCTACCAAACAGCGGTTACTGTTTCCTAACTGCTATTTTATTACCTTTTTCTGTGTAGAGAAGCATAGAGGATTTGCTTTTGTGGAGTTTGAGCTTCCAGAGGTCAGTGGGCATCTGTTTTATTTACACACTTTAGGTGTGTGTGTGTGTGTGTGTGTGTGTGTGTGTGTGTGTGTGTGTGAATATATATCAGTTGGCCAATTTATTGTTTCAATAAATCGGATAAAAAATTTCAAAAAAGTTTGGTGTATTATTTAGTTAATATTTAAAGTTAAAAATAAGACATTTTATTCTTGAATATCTATATGCAATGGTAAATATAAATAACCAGCTATATGATTAGGGAACAACATATCTAATCCACTCTGAAAATAAAAGAAGATGTATATACTATTGGAGTCTGATGCTATGTACCAAATTCTGCCTCTAAGATCAAAATTTTATGTAAAGGAAAAAAAAGCATTAAAAAAGACCTAAAATGCTGTTTTGCAGATTTTCAGTTAGGATTGCAAGATAATATTATGTATTACAGACTACCTTGCCATAGACAGGCAGCTTGATACAAGCTCCCTGTGCCTGCTGTCACTTAAGCCTGGTACACACATTCAGTTTTTTGTTTTTTTGATCAATCCAGCAGGCTGAACTAAAAATAAGTGAGTGATCACTGTACCAACTAAATGTTGTTAGTGATGCTATCTCTCCTGCTGTGCCTTTGTGTTTTGCCAGAACACACAAAATGCAGCCATTGGCTGCAAAAGCTGATCGGTTGCTGATTTTCCAGCATGTCCCTTCGACAATAGCCATTCTGTAGGCTGGCTTCTGTCGGAAAGACAGCTGTATATATGGTTCTTGCTGAACCGGCCAATATTTGGACCATGTGTACCCAGCTTTATGCTGGCCATACACAAACAAATTTTTCCTTTTGAAAGTTTATACGATTATCTAATCGTCAGTGGGGTCAAATCGACGTTCATTTTCAACCACACTGGCAGGAAATTTTGAAGGAGTAGAATAGATAACATTTCTCGACCAAATTAATTTACGGACAGTGTATGTGGTTTTGGTTCAGAAAACATTTTATGTTAAACCCTTGATGCCAACGTCACATAAATATGCGGCCTCACAGAACTGGGCTTTTTTCCGTGGGACCACATATTTGCGTAACTGTCTTTGTGTTTGGAGCGAGCCGCACAGCGCACTCCCAGCACAACACCGGGGTGTCACTAAGGGCACCGAGTCCCATTCTAATTATCGGGTTACATGATCGCTGCGATAGCCTCTAATTTGGCTATTACGGTGATCAGTCATTGTGAAGCCTGCCCCCCTTGGTTTTTTCTCTCTGAATGGAGGAGAGAGATACACTGTCTCTCCACTCCTCACACATATATGGTATCGCTGCGATTGTCAAGAGCTGGAAAATTTATTTTGGGTTGTTCTTTGGTGGTAGGTTATGGTAGTAACAAGAAACACCTAAATTTAAATAAAATTATTATTATTTTTTTTTTAAATATTTTGGGCCAGTGAAATTTTCAAACTACATCCATATAAAGTATGTACAAAGAATTTCCATGCGAGTATTTGTACGAATATTCTTGTCTGACAAGCGATACCTGTATAGTCAGCATAAGACCATTAGTAGCAGCATGCTTTTTTTTTTTTTTTTTTTTTTTTTTTTTATCACCTGTCATGATTGAGTTAAAAAAAAAACAAAAAAAAAAAAAAAAACAACTAATTAGCCCTTTATAGTACAAAAACAGAAGATAATCAGTATTATAATAGGTTAATACTGTGAAACAGTGAAAGTAATAAAGTATATATACACCCAGAAGTAGGATATATAGTGTATTTTAGGGGGGGAGGGTATAAACCTTTGATGTCAAAGTAGTACTAAAGGCTGAGACTTTTTTGCATGAATATAGTCATTTTAAATGTAATGCACAATACTGGTAAACTTTTC